TATCCAGAAAGCAAAACTTTTTTTGTCGCTCAGTGATCTAGGAAAAATCAAAGTAATTTTCTTATAGTGTAGTGATTTTATTAATCCACGGATTGGAAATGCACATCGCCATAGTGGTTAGAACAATAGCTCGGTCCTTCATCATTATACTAAAGGTTGGTTGGTTTGTTCAAATGTCAGGTGAATTCACCTTAAAGCTTTCCTAGGTGATTGGTTTTCAAATTGAGGCAACCATTCTGTGGTGGTCTTGGTAGTCCCATTCCTGACCCAGGGAGGTCTGCATAGGTCCTAGACAGTGTTAATGACAGATCAGCCTGTTTAGCTTGATGGACAGACTTGAATGGGCAGACCAGTCACTGGGGGCAGGGATCCTTCCCACTCAGCTCCTGTTAACCCTAAAGGCCTAATGGGTAAGGTGATCCTATCTGGACAAGCAGCAGGAAACTTGTCAGACAGTGTTTTCAATAGTAAGATATGCAGTTTTAGTTGGTTAAACAGTTACCCCATTGCACACTCTGGCGTCCCCAAGCCTTCGTATATGTAAATGGCAAGTATATGTAGAACTTTTAATTGGATTTGGATACTCTTAAGCATGGTGATGGGTTTTTGCATGTGTCAGACACCCGGCAAACCCAAAACACAAACCTCCTAGTGATCGTATCTGTAGAACTATCTGAGCCTCTCCATTGCACTCCTGACTTGAATTTACTCCAAGGTAACCTGTTGTTACAACTTACAATTGGCTCTTTGTAGATGAGAAACAAACCCAAAAAATTGGCAACAAGTAGACAGGTAGCTATTTGGTGAAATAGATCAATTGAGGGATAGGGGGAGAGACAGTAATGTGTTTTTTTCCCTTTTTTTTACTTTGGAACCAGCCAAGTGATCTCTCCTAGTCCCATACATTCCTATGTTTCTGTAGACTTGTAAAGGTTATTTGAAACCGTGCAGATAATAGATCTGCGTGAAGCTATTTCTATCGTATAAAGTGCAAAGATTCCTCCCTGTAAACCGAGAGTGGGGGGGCTCTAATGAGTCCGCAGCAGAATTGAAAGGTCTAAAGATTAAAGTACGAATGGCAGTGCAATGAAAGCCACAGTTATCTGGACGGTAAAAATGAATGGCATATTTCCTTTGATGTCAGATACGCTGCCGCAGTACAGTGCTGCAGAGGCTGACACTTCCACGAGTCACTTTAATCTCTGGTATGGATATTCTTAGCCACTAGGGTTTGTATATTCTGGGTTTTAGCACAATGCTGGGTGGAATTGCCCCAATGGGGCAGGCTGCAGTCTTCCAAAAGGAACAGAGGACATGCTGAGTTTCAACTGTGCCTCTATTCCCGAGAGTGGTGCACTGTTACTGAAGGTAACTTAATCGTGTTGAGCATCAGATCAGACGTAAATAGAGAGCACACACAGGCTCAAAAAAATCTTTAGCGCATATAATAGCAGGAGACCAGTTATTTTTTGACATTGTTAAATTCCCCATTCCTAAATTGCTGACGGAAAACAAAATTTGATGGCAAGTAATGAGTACTTCTGTAAGTGTTGTAAAGCTTTGAGGCTTAAAGGAATGTTTTGGTGTTATAATTCAAAAACAACAATAATTTGCATTCATATAGCGTCCTTCATGCAAGGTATCCTCTCAAAGCATTGGGTTCACCTGGAAAAGACGATTGACAATGATAGTTAAATAGTTTTGAAGTTCTAACTTGCTTTAAAATACATACAGTACTTCCCATTCTGAGAGTACTGAAAACATAGCTTAACTTGACTTCTACTCTCCACCCACCATGCTGCCGGCTTTTCACTTAGCTCAGGAGAACAGCCAGGTGCTATAGGAAGCAAAGGCGAGGCAATGGCATGTCACATTTCAGCAACTAGCCTGGAAAACCAAATGCAAGAATAATTATTATTATTATTAAAATACCACTTGGTGCTAAATTCTGTTTAAATCTCAGTCTTGCTCAGTAAACCAACACTGCCTCTTCAGAAGTACGTTCACTTATAGGCGTTCATCCTTTCCTGTAGGATAAAGGTTTTGAAATGCTCCACGAAGATAATGAGGATGAGAGACCACATCTGTCTCTAAGTCTCTAGCCTTGGACTGAATGTTTGGAAGAGTGACCCAGAGCAGAGCTTTGGTGCCTCATAAAACTGAGTGGAAGGAGGACAAGTCACATTGGCTGCTTCTATGTATCTCCTAATGAGTGGTTGCAGAGACCTAGAGATGGGTTAAATCTGACTGTCCATCGTGCCTGAGGTACTGGTGGGTGGCAGAGAGAGAAATCTTAAAAAGAAGAAAATAACCATTTTAAAAAAATAAATGTTCAGTGTTTGTCAGGAAGGTGGCAGGAGAGACCAAATGCCAATTTTGTAACTTAAATAATAATATAATAATAATCCTTGCATTTGATATAGCGCCTTTTCACATTGTCGAGACGTCTTAAAGCGCTTCACAAAATATATTGTGAAGTGGGTTGACTGTGTGTTTTATGGGTGAAACATACTTTTGCTGTGACAACAGCCCCTGGTGAGAGCAGGGTTATGAGAGAGGAAACCAGTCTGATGAAAGATTTAAAACCATAACTTCCAATTTTTTTCACATGAAAATAAGATAATAAACTATGCCAACATTGGCACAAGACTTGCCTGCCTTGTGATAACTTTGTGCTGTGAGGTGGTGTGGGTTTTAAACTGAAGCGGTGCTGAACAACTTAGGATCCCTTGGGATCGGTGGGGTAGCTGACATTCCGTGTCGACGCGGCGGGAGTTGGAGCCACTTTCAGAAACTTTGTTTTTCTCCCTGTTAATATTGTAAAGTATCCAATCGAGCAAATGCTACGGTAGGAATGCGAAGAGACATTTTGTTCGCGGTGCCAACATGCTGTACAGTGTTCCTCGCCAAAGCGAATGCAGAACCAATGGATTACTCGGCAGTGTATCTACTTACAAATGCTTTGATAAATCATCCGTGTTTTCACATGGCGCGGACAGAAATATGACAGGTTTTGAACCTTGCAGACTTTGCCTAGACTTGGCAAATATGAAAGCACACTGTAACACCTTGACATTGATTGGATAAGGTCCAGTGCATGATTTACTGACTGGGGATCAGGGATTGCAAACAATGTTCACATTTTCCAAATAGGTCCAATGGGATTTTATTACTGTGACTTGGCTAGCACTCATCAACAAAGTGACAAATGTCTCAAGTGGAATTCACATGGAGCCTGGCTGGTTTGAATAAAACTAATTCCCATAACAACTGTTCAATGCAACTGAGCAGTCTCCTATTATTTTAAGTTATCCATAAGGAGATTTCGATCGGTCACTCTTCTCATGTGGATTATGACCAGTTAAGGGTTTTGGTGTTATGCTGAAAAGGGAAGATGCCACACACGGAATAGAATGTAACTTTCTTTAAACAGTGAAAGGAAAGCTAACTTGTCAAATATACTATTGGGGGGTATCTGTGATTAAAACGTCTCAGGGTATCTGTGATTTTTAAAAAAATGTTTGTGTTTATGAAATAATAATTATCCTGGCATTTGATTTAGCATTTTACAAGCTCATTGAGCCATCTCAAAGAGCTTCACAAGATTTTACTGTGAAGCGTGGTGACTGTGTATTTGTATGCAAACACTGTCTCTGCGTTTAGAAGTCACCAGTCTCAGTGTAAAGGCCTCTATAACTAGGGAACCTCCTGCTTTTTTTTTAAGAGCTAAGTTGTGTCTCGTCTGTCAGGAGTGAATCGAGGTGTGACTAGACTGAGAAGGTTCTGTTTCACTGATCCACTGTGGAGTGTGTGCGTGCTGTTGGCACACCATTATTGACAAGTTTGCTTTCCTTTCACTTTTTATAGAATGGTGAAGCTTCAGGTCTGCACGGTCCAGTGATTCTTTTCTCTTCGGGTCCACTCAAGAATCGCAGTTAAAAACGAGTGCGGCTGAACCATGCTATGAGCAGAGGGCACACTGCTGGTTGCCTTGGGTTAGGTTTCCAGTCCATTGCCCTTCTTGGCAGCACGGAGCAGGGGTTGTGCATTGAAGCATCTACAGCCATTGTTGTTCTTTACATAACATCATGCCATCAATGCTGTGGCTTTCCCCCCACCCATTTGGGCCTGAGCCACAAGGCACGGAAACCTCTGCTATGAAGTAGAGAGATTTTGCGTACAAGTTTCTTTGGCTGACTGCAGATTTTTTGTGCAGAGGTGATACCCTTCTTATATTAAGCAAATTATGCCCTGGAAAAATGATTTATCTTAATAATAACAATACTCATAATCCTTAAGCCCCATGTTCACATTCCACTAATACTCTATATTGTGCTCTGAGAGATTTGCTGTTTTAAAAACAATAACTTGCATTTATATAGCACCTCTCACCCAGGGTAGCGTCCCAGAGCGCAACTTATATCCAATAAATTGGATATAAGATGTGCGACGACAAAGCACATAGAGTCAAACTCAATTGGCAGTATCACGTTGAGAGGCTGGTTGTGATTTGTGCTACTGTCATGTATCTTCACACAGCAAGAATCATGTCTTGCTCACTTTCTGATCACTACTTCACTGTGTTTTAATCACAGATACCCCCCAATAGTATATTTGACAAGTTAGCTTTCCTTTCACTGTTTAAAGAAGTTTTAGAAGTACAAAATCCAAGTCAGCTAGGATCAACAATCTGGTAAATTTTGGGCGCTCTAAAATGCTACATAAATAGAATGAACCTGAATTCAGGTGGAATTTCTCAACAATAAAGTCTTACACATTACTTTGGCTTCTGTGTGACTGTGGGGGAATTTTTTAGGTGATAATTCATAAACGGCGACCAGAATGGAGGTTAATATGGATGCGGTACATTCCGCCACATGTTATGTCTGCAGAGGGGCTCGAATCTCGGTTTGTGGAAAATAAGTGTGATTTGTCGAAAATCTTTTCCTAAACCTCAAATGATACGCTGTATATTAATTCCACTTGCATTTGTTTTATAGGAAAGCTCCCCTGTGAGCGTGCCGTAAGGAAGCAGCAACAGTTGAACAGCCTGGTTTCTGTCGTGACAAGCCTAGCTAGGCCTGGTGACACTATTGTTGATTTCTGTAGCGGTGGGGTAATGTAACCTTTATATACAGCTTTCTTTCCTTCTGTTTCACTGACTTAGCTGCAGTCTGTTTAAGCAGACTTCAGTCTTGGTTTCTCTCAACCTTTTTCTCTGAATCTTAGAATCATAGAGATTTACAGCACAGAAGAATCTCCATTGAATCTGCACTGGCTCTCAAGTAAGCTGTCCATTAAATCCCACTGCCCCACCTTATCCTCATACCTCTTCAAGCCTCTATCTTTCATGTAGCTGTCTACTCCCCTCTTGAAATCCACAATGGACAATGCTACTAACACCTCTGTAATAGAGATGTATAATAATACTGTGAAGCACTTTAAGACATTTTAACCATGTGATTGAGTGCTGCATCAAAGGCAAGGAATATTTTGTTTTATATTAGAGAATATACAGAACAGGCGCCTGAGACAGCAGCTTCCACAAACCTGATGGAAGTTTAAGGGTTAAAGCACAACTATAATTATTATGTTTGAAATTCAACCTTTAAAAAGTACATGTAAAGTAATGATAATTTCTTTACAACTGTCTTTTGAAAAGGCGATTAGACTCTTGCTTTCATAATACCGTAACTTTACAATTTACTCTCCTATTTTCAGTAATCCCGGAAAAGTGCTAGAAACTATTCATCGTGAGTTTGACATATTTAGGTAACATCGTTGTTTGAAGATGGCCCCTTTGGTTTAACGTGCTGGAGACTCATCTGTATTGTTGCATTTCTTGCATAGCATAAGCTCTCAAGAGTTCAGAATATAAATAAAGGCGTCTGGCTTGTCAAAAGTGTGAGAATGTGACTGTATTCTGATCTCAAAATAGATCAAATTCCACGGCTTGGCTGATTGACTCTATTCTTTATCCTGTATCCACAGGGGCATGTCGCAATTGTCTTGGCTCATACCCTACCATCATGTCAGGTAAGGCTTCACTGAAAATAGTTTTTAGAAGTGTAGCATTCTCTGCCTCTCTTTTTCTCTTCGCTTTACTTTGTTCCACTCTGCTGTTGAAGGTCAACTGGTTGGATGTGCTAATACTAAAAGTAACATGTGTCAGTAATCAGGTAAGCACGGCACCTTAGTTAGGCACAGTGTTTTTGAATGTCACTTCTCCATCCTCTGCTCTATCCGAGAGAGATTACCAGGCTTCTTCAGAATAGGGAGTTTCTTCTGGTGTCCTGCTCGACAATCCCCCCCAAATAAAAATTGGTCATTCGCTTCATGGCTGTCTGGGACATTGCCATGCGCAAACTGGCTGTTGTGTTGTCCCATAAAACACACAGTTGCAACACTTTACAGCATGTCCTGTAAAACGCTTTGGGACGTCCTCTTGGCGTGAACAGCACTGTACCAAATGTAAGCATTATTATTATTCAACCCGGTGAATTGCTCCCCCTCATTGAATAGCCTGCAGCAATTATGAGACTTGAATCTGCTAAGTGCTCTGGCCTGTTTAGCCTGTTGTTTTTTAAAAGCAGCTTTTAAAAAATCTAATTATTAGAAGGAATTTATCTTTTTTTTTCTCCTGTCTATTTAGATGGTTATTTGAGAAAAAAAACAGCCGGTAGGAATGGCATCATTGGTTTCTGTCTGCGATGGGGTATTGAGATACTATTTAAGAAGGGTAGGAGAGAGAAGATGGGGAACTGTAGACCAGTCAGTCTAACATCGGTGGTAGGGAAAATTCTGGAATCCTTAATTAGTTGTAGTGGGGTACTTAGAAGACCATAATATGATTAGGCAGAGTCAACATGGCTTTACAAAAGGGAAATCATGCTTAACAAATCTTTTAGAGTTTTTTGAGGATGTAACTAGCAGGTTAGATGGGGGGAACCAGTAGATGTAGTATATTTAGATTTACAGAAGGCATTCGACAAGGTGCCACATAAAAGGCTGCTACACAAGATTAGGGCCCATTGAATTAAAGGCAATATATTAGCATGGTTCGAAAAGTGGCTAACATAACATAACATGTAGGAGCAGGAGTAGGCCATTCGGCCCTTTGAACCTGCCCCGCCATTCAATCATGACTGATCTTCTAATCTAACTCCAGCTAATAACCTGACCCTGCCTTATCCCCATATCCCTTAATCCCTTTTGCAACGGGAAGAAAACAGAGAGTAGGGATAAACGGGTCCTTCTCAGATTGGCGGATGTGACTATTGAAGTGCCACAAGGATCCGTGCTTGGACCTCAATTATTTATAATCTATATCAGTGATCTAGACGAGGACATAGAACTTAAAATATCTAAATTCGCGGATGATACTAAGCTAGGTGAGAGAGTAAGCTCTGAGGATGACACAAAAAGATTGCAAAGGGATATAGATAGGCTAGGTGAGTGGGCAAGAAGGTGGCAGATGGAATATAATGTGGGTAAGTGTGAAGTTATTCAGCTATGTAGTAAAAACAGAAAAACAGATTATTTTCTAGAGGGGGAGAGATTAGATAGTGTTAGTGTTCAGAGGGATTTGGGGTCCTTGTACACCAGTCACAAAAAGTTAGTATGCAGGTACAGCAAGCAACTAGGAAGGCTAATGGTATGTTGGCGTTTATTGCAAAAGGGTTAGAATACAAGAGTAGGGAAGTCTTGCTGCAACTGTATAGACCGCACCTAGAGTATTGTGTGCAGTTTTGGTCTCCTTATTTAAGAAAGAACATACTCGCCTTAGAGAGGGTGCAGCATAGATTCACTAGGTTAGTTTGGCCTATGAGGATAGATTGAGTAAACTAGGTCTGTATTCTCTAGAATATTGAAGAATTAGGGGTGATCTTATAGAAACATATAAGATTTTTATGGAGCTTGACAGAGTAGACAGTGTGAGACTGTTTCCCCTGGTAGGAGAATCTATAACTAAGGGTCACTCTTAAGATTAAGGGTCAGCCCTTTCGAACAGAGTTGAGGAAACACTTCTTCACTCAGCGGGTAGTGAATTTATGGAATTCTCAACCCCAGAAGGCTGAGGATGCTCAGTCCTTGAACATATTCAAGACTGAGATTGATAGGTTTCTAAAGGATAGAGGGATTAAGGGATATGGGGATAAGGCGGGCAGATGGAATTAGGTTAGAAGATCAGTCATGATCTTATTGAATGGCGGGGCAGGCTCGAGGGGCCGAATGACCTACTCCTGCTCCTAATTCCCATGTTCCTATGAGACTTAACAGTGAAAGAGCAAAAATCGCTTCCACCCATCTGACTGAAGCTGACTGAGATAACCAAAAGATCCTATTGCTTTCATGTGGAGTAACTGCTTTCTAATTAAGGCATTGACTTGTGTTCCAGATAGTTCTGGTGGAAAACAAAGAGGAATCCTTATTGCGTGCCAAGGACAGATGTGAGGATCTCAGATTGAACAACATCTGGTTCATCCAGGCTAACCTGGATTCCTTCAAAGGACTATTTAAGATCGGGGTGAGTGCAAAACACTGAGTATGCTGAGATAGCCATGTCACATAATCACCCTCTTGCTTAATAATGGCTGAAATTGTTATTGTTCAGTAATACTGTAAGCTGCTGCACTAAAGTAACAAAGGACATTGCACAGGAAGCTGATGAATACAGGAGAGGCAGAAGCCAGAGTATTCCTGAGCAATACAGTTACAAGCAGATTGCACATGTCCTCTTCACAAGTAGAATACATTCCCTACTCAACAACTTGCCCTCTCCCTATCTGTCATCTAAAAACCTCTCCTCAACCACACCTGCAGTCACTTCCCCAGTTCCCTTGATCAGCATCTGGCCCCGTCTTTGTGAGGTGCTCCAAGACGTTAACCTATATAAATGTAAGCTGCTCTATAAACCCAAGCCGCTGTTGTTGCTGTTTCTGTGAACCCTCGTATTCACATTTGGTCCTAACTGTTCTAAACATTCAAAATGAAGTTGCATTTTAACACTGCTTTATTTTCTTGCCTGGAGCGGAACACTGTATGACGCAGCAGGAGCCAGAACTCTCACCAGCTGTTACTGTGGGGGTTCTTGTGGTGTCAGGAGTTGGTGGGCGGATGGTCACTCCAGAGAAACCAGCAGTATGCGTTGCTAATTTTTTCATTTGTTACACGATCAGTCGCTTTTGTGTCGATCTATTTTATTTTAATACTGGTTTGATGTTTACACTAGGATTCTATTGCTTTGTATGATTTATTTCTATTAATTGGATAGTTTTAGTTTCCTTATGATTGCCACTGAAAACTTTATGGCAATTTGTTTTATTTTATTTTCAGTAGATAGTTTTATAATTTCATTATGATGACTAATCCAAAGCATATGTCAATGGTGAATTGAATAAATTGGCAGGGAAAAACACCATGCAGGGGCTAAGATAGATACCCCTCTATGGAGTCCTGCAGCATATAGGTTAGAAAGCATGCCTCGCAAGCCCGATTCCCAAGCAGAGTGAAACCTTAGGCAAGTTTCCTTACTCCACATGCCTCTGTTTACCTAGGTTTGCTTCCTTACCTAATTTTCATTAGTAAACCCTTTCGCCTCCTCCACTGTCTTTTTTAAATCTTTGGCATCACACTGGGCAGTGGGGAAATTCTCAATTGCTACCAGGTGGCATTGGCCGAGCACCCTCAACTCTTCCCAGTCTGAGCAGCAGCTTTTTCTGATCGGCTCTGTGCGTGCAGGTTTTGAGTATTTATCCACAGATCTCTGCCTTACCCTTCCCAATGTTAACACAGCTCCCTGCTCCTGCTGAAAAGCTGGCGTAATTGCACCAACAGTCATTAAAGGCAGTGTGATCGCTGCACACAGATTGCTACTTGTGTTCGATCAGCAGCTCCATAATTCTCAGTGTTATCACATTCTTATATGTTCTAGGTTTGCTCGCATACAATACCTTAAGGTTTGCTCAAATAGTAAATATGACAGCACTTTACCGGATATCCCCCAAGGGGCTTTCAAAGGAATACTGCATTCTCAGCAGGTCTATGAAGAGCTAAAGAGTCAGGGAGATTGATGAGATGCAGTCTTCACGTTGGCCACCTCTTGCTGTGCTGCGTAGAGCTGGCTATGAATTAGAAGGGGGGAAGAAACACATTGGGGACAGATGAATTGTATGAAGATTGTGTGAATCGGGGAATTCTTTTAAGGGTGGAGAGGGGGAGAGAGAGATTGATTGTGATAAAAATACAAGTGTAATAACAGGGAGACTATCAAGGGCAGAGATCAAGAAGGAAGAAGAGACGAATAGGGTGATAGTGAAGGAGAGAGAGAGAGAGAGAGAAACCGAGATTACCAATGAGACAATTCAGTGGACAGAAATAGACCAGGACAGTTTAAGAAGGAGCAAGTATAAAGTATAGAGAAGAGAAAGAGGAGAACAAAAAATAAACAGATAAGTGAAATTCAGGCAGCTACAAACAGATCAATACTGGAGCGGAGGGGGATGATAAAAAGTAAACCTGTGTCTCTGTGATAATATGGACAATTATAAATGGTCCCTTAGCAACAAGTATTCCACTTAATAATAATCCCTGCTAGAAAACCAGAAAGCTGCCCATTTTTTTCTCAAATAACAATGAAAGTTAATGTTGGTGCAAAAATGATACACCTTTCTCAAAATGTTCAGCTGACACGTTACTCTCGCCTTTGCCCTTTCCAAGTCCAGCTACAAAGCATAGTTACGCAATATGAGGATAATCCTCTCCATTTATTTTCAAATCAAACAGTCCTTTGTATTATAATAATAATAATTCTTTCATTTGATATAGAGCTTTTCAGATTGTGTGGTTGTCCTAAAGTGCTTCACAAGGATATACTGTAAAATGCAGTGACTGAGCCTTTTGTGGATGAACTGGGCAGCCAGTTTGCACACAGCAATGTCCCACAATCAACCATGGAGTTATTGACCAATCTTATTTGGAGAATTTTGGCCAGGACACCAGGAGAAACTCCCTTCTCTTTTTGAATAAACCTTGGTTTAACGTTTCATCCGAAAGACAGCACTTCCAACAATGCAACACCCTCCAGCACTGCATAGTGTCATCTTAGACTATCTGATTCCAAGTACTGGCATGGAGCTTGAACCCACAACCTTCTGGCTCACATGCCAGAGTGCAACCACCGCATCAGGCTGACACAAGGCATTGATGTGAAAGGCGCTGTACAAATGTAATATGTTGTTTTTTAACACACAAGTTAATGATGCTTTCTTTAACTCACAAACAACAAATTACATTTTTCTTATATAGCACCTTTCACGTCAGGAGGACGTCCCAAAGTGTTTTACAGTCAGATCTGCATCCGAGCTGGTGGTTGGAATTCTCGTCTTAATAATAATAATAATAGCAATCATTGCATTTGAAATTGCACCTTAACATGTTTTCTAGACATCTTAAAGCAGTTCACAGAATATACTGCACAGTGAGTTGATTGTATATTTTGTGGGTGAAAAGCAGCAGCCAATTGCACAGAGCAGTACTCCACAAACAGTCGTGGATTGAGTGATCAAACCAAACGTTTCATGTTATTTTTATATATTTATATATATATATCTATGATGTTAAAGTTAGAAAAGTTAATCCATTATTATATCGGCCTTTCAAAAGAATGTAACAAGGTTGCTGTTTTGGGTTATTAATCTTTCTGGTTTATGGAAACTGTTCATGCACCTGCCACTTTCCTTATTTCATCAAGCAATCTGATCCAATTGACTCAGCCTCCAACTGCACAGGAACTGAAAATAGGTCTGGGCATCCAACGTAAATGAGGCTCTTGATCTAATATGTGCCATTCACATGTAGATTATATGGCAGTGTTAGCTATAAAGCTAAAGTGATGTACTAGTTCTGAACTTAAACCCAATCTCTGATGTTACATGTGATCTGGGGTTGACGGCAATCTGGTGCTATGCTATAGTTTTCCTCACATCAGCCCCCCAAGTACAGTATAATATCAGCTTGCACACCACTGAGAGTTATTTTAAAACTTTTGCACCCTCCTCTGAAGGGTGCTGCAAAATACAGGGGTAGATTTTGTAGAAGTGTCAGCTATCCTTCGGTACCCCTTCCAAATTGTTATTCGAAACCTTGGGCAAGTTTCCTTACTCCACACAGAGCCTAATAATAATCCCTCCAAAACCAAAAACAATAATAAATTGGTCATTTTCAATCTACGACTGTTTGTGGGACATTGCTGTGCGCAAATTGGCTGCCGCGTTCGCCCACAAATATACAGTCAATTCACTTTACAGTGTGTTCTGTGAAGCGCTTTGGGACGTCCTCCCGACGTGAAAAGCGCTATATCAAATGCAAGGATTATTATTTATTATTATTATTATTCTTCCACCAAGCTGCAACAACAAATTACATTTGTACAGCGTCTTTCACGTGTGGAGGACGTCCCAAGGCGCTGGACAGTCAAGGATTTACATCCAAGCTGGGGGTTGGGATCAGGAATGGTGGAGGGCAGGGAGCATGGAGGTAGGAGAGTGACTGAAGGCGCCGTCGAAGAGGAGGCAGACAGAACCTTGATTTGTCTTGTTTCACCCACTAAATATAGTCAACTTTACAGTATATCCTGTAAAGAGCTTTGAGACGTCTCGAAGACCTAATAAAGTACTATATCAAATGCAAGGATTATTATTATATGTGAAGGATGGCACCTCCAACAATGGAACACTTCCCCCAGCATTGCATTGAAGTATCAGTCTAGACTGTGATCTTAAATCCAGACATAAGCAACAAGAGAGTCTGAGATTATCTAACTCAGTACGGACTTTGAACCTGAGCCTTTTCACAGTCTGTGTAGCTCAGGTACTCAGCTTAAAATAAATATGTATATATTTTAAAAAAAAGCATTAGCCATAGTTTGAAAAGTCAGTGATACACTGAGTGAAGATATTCACTCACTGGCCAGTTCTGTCCTACTGCATTGGTGCATTACATTGACATCAAATTACAGAGAGGATATCCGAGAATAGACTGCTAACTGACAGCAGTAATTGTTAAACATGAAGTATTTGGTGATTGATAAGACACTTGTGTTCTTTCGAGTGAAGGGAATTGAAGGGCACCTCAACCTGCTGTCCAGTCACCTGTGTGACTGACGTAAGAACAAAGCAAGAGACAAAAACCCTTCAAAGCATCATATCTCTAGCAAATTAAAGGACAACTGAAAAATATATATGGGAGGTTTAACTAACTGCTTCTTCTTCTCGGACTTCTTTTCTCGGATTGACATATTTAGGATATTCTGTGCATTCCCATCAATGATGCTCAATAATTTTCATACGAAACATTGAAAAGCATCATCCGCCAGACAATGTGTTAAACAACAACTTGCATTTATATAATGACCTTCACACGGGGCAGCGTCTCAGATCCCGAAGAGTGCTGTAGTTTGATCTAAGCCGGGGAGAAAGGGAAGTAACCTTAGGCACAGTCAAAGAGGAGGGTCTTCAGGTGCAACCTGAAGGTGGGCAAAGAGGGGGCAGGGTGGAGGGATTGAGACAGGGAGTTCCAGAGACCAAAATAAAGACCGTTCAGTTTTGATCTTAATCACTTTGTTATTGAAGGCGTCAGAAATGACTAACATGGGGCAGCTGGCTTTATTCAGTTAGTGGATTGATACCTACCTGCTAAATATACACAGTCGTTGACAGCCATTGACACATGAAAATGCAACACTATTACCACAATGCAGCCAGTGTATTGTAGTTTTAACTGAGCACAGTCCTTTGAGCTGAATATGGTGACTGATATGGTGATGAAATGCATAACTATAACTAAAGACTGTGCTTAACGTCAAAGCTAGTGAGAATCAATACAATATAATTTACAAAGTTCTGGATAGGGGCTGTCAAGTAGCGGGAAGCTTGCCAAACAGTGCTTTCAACGGTAAGCAATGTGGTTTTAACTGGTTAGACTCCAGCAGTACTCCCAATGCACACTCTGGCTCTTGGCTCCAACCCTTGGCTCTTACCAAACTGCACCTAATACTCTTCGCAAAAAGGACATGTCTTTCTAGGGAGAGAGTACATATTCTATTCCAGACACGGAAATTTCCATACTTAGACATCTGGCTTGGATACTTTTAAGTATTGTGATGGGTTTCCACATGTGCCAGATTCCCGGCTGACCAAAGCAACAAACTCCTATTGAAGGTAATACTTCTGAAAGGATGTAGTATCACATTTGTGATATTTTGACTGTTTATATGAAATATTATAATTAAACATTCGCTATACTTAAGGTAGATTTTTACTTAGATTTTGAATGCTGAGAGGGAAGGTATGAGGGGTAGAGATTTAGGGAGAGCATTCCAGAGAACAGGGGTAAAGTGCCTGAAAGCTCAGCCACTGATGGTGAGACAGAGTGAGCACAGGACATGAAGCAAGTCTGAGATAGCAGAGTGGAGGGAGTAGAGCTGCAGGAGTTTACAGAGGTCAGGTACGGCAAGGATGTAGAGAGAGTTAAAATGAGGATCGTATTTACGACTGTATCTTAAATACAGTCCATAGGGGAATAGGGCAATAGTGAATCCTGGTGAGAATGGGGCGATTGGCTCACAGAGCCTGGCGCGAGTTACGGACTGTGGTGTTCCGGATGATCTAGACTTTAACTTGAGGGTTGGTGAAGGTCTTGAGCACAGAAGGCCAGCGAGGAGGGTTTCGAAATAATGCAGTCTGGAGGTGATGAAGCAGTGAATGAGTTTTGGTTGCGTTTGGAGGGTGAGACATGGTCGGAGACGGGCAGTATTTGCATGGGCACATGAAACTCGTATTACAGCAGATGATATCAGAGTGGCTATGGGGCCCACTCTCTTTCAACAACCACACTCATGTTCCCGTGGTTCCATGGGCGGCTATGAATACCCGCACTCACACTGGCAATCCTCCAAAAAATGAATCAAAGCAGTTGGAACCACTGTACTGTGAGTGATTGAAATTGAAGAATTTCAGTACTTAAAGTCACTAATTTGATCCAGGACAGCAGTTGTGTTTGGCAAACTCTATGGAATTTTCGTTTTTAATAGAAAACAGTTTGGGGAAGACAGGTTTCCAAGTTGTGTTTTGATCATTGCAGACCATCATCATCACACTCATTTAATGTGGATTTATTTTAATGCATGTGAGAAACGAGATGAAATGCATTCACTAACAAGCCTTTGGGAGGGGACTTAGTTTTTGTGTTCTACTCGCCACACTCTTCAGATTTCCACAGACACAATTTGCAGAGCCTCGCATGGAACCATAGAAATTTACAGCACAAAAGAAGACCATTTGGCTGATCATGTCTGTGCTGGCTCTTATAAGAGTATTCCTTTCAGACCTATCCTTTCCCTATATCCCTGTACGTGACTCCTTTCTAGATATTTATTTCCCTTTTGAAAGCTAATATAGATTCTGCCTCAACCCCTGCTCCTAGCAGGGTATTCCAAATGCTAACTCTTCTGTTTGTGAAACAATTTCTCCTGACCTCACCATTTACCCGTTTGCTGCCTATCTTAAATCAAATCCCTTGAGTCACTGATTCACCGACCAGTGGAAATAATTTCTTTCACCTTTATCAGAGTGAACTCGACAAGAAGGTAGGTTCTAACCCTTTAAATTTATGAGGGGTTTTAGTAGCATCAACAGAGAGAAATGATGTCCATAGGTCAGTGAATCAGTGATTATGGGGCATATATGACAGTGACCTCTATCAGGTCACCCTTCAACCTTCTTTGTTCTAATGGAAAAGTCCCAGTTCCTCCAGGCTCTGCTGATACACCAAAACACTCAGCTCAGGTGTCATCCTAGTAAATCTCCTCTGCTCCCCTCAGCTCCCTTGATGTCCTTCCTAAAGTGGGATGACCAATATTGGACACAATATTCTAACTGAGGTTTAACAAATAATTTATATATGTGTGTATGTGTGTGAGTGTCTTCTGTCACTGGTGCTTACAGGTCCTCTTGCCACTTACTGTTTCTCTTGGTCTCTGATTTTCTTTTTGCAGGTGGGGCTTCATGCGTGCGGAGTAGCGACCGACATGGTGATTGATCGCTGTATCAAGGCCCGGGCATCTTTTGTTATCTGCCCGTGTTGTTACGGTTTCATACAGAATACGGTCAAGTTCACTTTCCCAAGAAGGTAGGTTCTGACCCTTGAGTTGCTGCATAATAATTCCTATCATTTTCAATTTCATGCTTAAGTCTGTAATTTTAAATCACTCCGGCAGCTTAGTTCAACGACCAGCCATTTGAATAACAGGTTTACATCATATTAGAATCCTGTCTGTCCACTGATACTGACATGCTCCACCTGCCCAGTTAACTATTAGAATTTGTTTTCCCTTCCCCCTCCAAATTTTGAGGGGCTGTCAGCCTGGCTGAACTCTCACCAACAAGTTAAAAGATTGTGGGTTCAAGCCCGACTTCGTGACTTGGGATCACGTAGTTCATCGACATCTGAAAGAAAAAGCAGTTTTTAACTCTTTTTTTGTAGAGTCTCTTCAGCCTCATCTGAGTGTGCGTGTTTGGCTCAGAGATATTGGAATGGAAGATGGAGAAATAAACTTCTTTGTTTTACAGCCCTCAAATTCAGGGGAAAAAATAAATTTTGGGGGAGGGGAAAAAAGTCCCAATTTGTTTTACAGCTAATTGTAATATAGAATTTTTTTAAAGTTTGGCAAGGGAACAGGAGCAGATCATTCTGCCTATCATGCCTGTTTCACCGTTAGGGTTAGGTAACGCTTTATAAAGCTATTTATTTGGCTTCTATTTAACATATCCGGGATAAACACATGCATGTATTCACCTATACATATACACATTTTACACTGTATACTAACAATCTGCAACAACAACAACAAATTACATTCCTCTAGCGCCTTTCACGTTAGGTGGACGTCCCAAGGCGATGGACAGTCAGGGATTTGGACAGTTAGGGATCTTCGTATGCAAGAAACTGCTGTGAGTGCCAGTGTTTATGTTGAACTGATGTCACTGATGCAAATATTAATATGTTTTTTTATAACTTTTCATTTTCTTTCAGCCAAAAGTTCAAGGATATTTTGTCGTATAAGGTTTGTATGTTGGGGGTCGCTTTACGGGTGAGAGCTGAATGTTGTTAGTGTCAATGGGCAAATTCGACTTGCACCTCAGTTCGTTCGCCTAACCGATTGCCTGTCTGTGTGAGAATAGCACAGAATAGCTGCCTTGAATGCATGGGATCCTGCATGGGAAAAGCTCAGATGGCTTGGATATCTGCCTAAACTGTGAGAATGTCACTGAAACCATTAATATTATCCTCTGCAACCAAAGCCATGGGTAACTGCATAAGTAAATCATGTAAGGTCACAGCTGTTACCAGCAGTTGATATTTTATACACAACCATGCCTTCCACCTAGTCATCGTTTATTGTTGCTTTTTCTAAGGTTGTCCATCAGCTAACTAATTCCACGTTCTTATTAATTAGATAAAGTTGCTAACTATTGTTGTGAACTAGGCCTTGAACCTTTTCTTAAACACCAGTTATTCATTCATATTCCCTCTGTATCACTTATCTTATCAAATGTGTAGCTCCCTCTAATTTTTCTAATGTTTGCTCTCATCACGTTCTAGAACCCGCTCTGCCACTACCCCCAATGTGTAAATTGGCTTGGTTTTTACATTCCCTCAGTTCCCTCCTGGCTTCACTTATGTACTTATTTCGCCCACAAAATATACAGTCAATTCACTTTATAGTATATTCTGTGAAGCGCTTTGAGACTTCTCCAAGACGTGATAGGAATTATACCAAATGCAAGGATTATTATTATTATCATTATGTCAAGACTCAGTCATTAATAGCCACTTGTGCAAGAAATGGTGGTGGGGGTGGGGGGCGGGGAGAATGAAACCCCCAAAACCATCACTAAATTGTATCCAAAAGCTTTTGGTGAGGACGGGAGGAAATTGCTGAGGAAAACATAAAGTCTCAAAACCACTGTTTTTTGCAAATAGAGTGCTAACCATCACTTAACATTGACAGCAGCTACATACTAAACTGTAAACTGAAACAAGACACAAATCACCAGATCTAAAATGCACAAATCTAAAAGGGTTCTGTCAGTATTGCCTGAATTGTAGATTGAATTACGGTTATTAAACTCATTTTCAGATGTATCTTGTACGCTACAGCGCTGAAGGCTGTAGTTTTTTTAAAAAATTGCTGTCGATATGGAGATTGTGTGACTTGGTTTGAAAAGTAAAGTGTGACTTTTAGCCTGAAGGTGAGTAGCAACTCATCAGACTTGCTGTTGCATTCTGTTTCTTAATCTTTCAAAAACCCCACTGAAGCTACTTAGAAGACAAACCTTTTTGACAGGTGAAAATGTGTCTTAATTTTTTCATTCATGCATTTTTCTTTGTAGTTTTTAAACTAACCTTTTTTGATTCACCTTTATAGACCCCTGTAAAATCACCTCTCTCATTGCTCTCCTTTGTTCCAGGAACACATGGTTCTTTCCAGGTTTGCGGATCAGACAGCTGTTCAGCTCCCAGGAGAGCGTCGGATAATAGGTATGGGCCACGGACATACAGCTGTTCTGTCTCGCTGCTGTGTGGAAAGAAACAGGCTAATATCTTTCACATGGGCCGGGGCTGGTTGCTTCATCTGTGGAAAAGCAATGTTCTGCGCAATAGGGGCTTGTGGGCTTCATGTAACACATATATTCATGAACAGAGTTTTCCAGACTACAACATCTTTCACTTTATTATTATTATGGAATGCCTTTCACGTAAAATAATCCTTGCATTTGATACAGCACCTTTCATGTCAGGAGAACATCTCAAAAGCGTTTCATGGAATCTACTATAAAGTGGGAGTGACTGTCTGTATGTAGCACACAAACCCGGCAGCCAATTTGTGAATAATAATGTCCCACTAACAACCATTTTCTTTTATTTTGGGGGCACTGTTGACTCCCTTTTTTTGAGCAGTGCTATGGGGATTTACTTATATGCTTAATAACTTAGATCTATGAGGCGTCTCAAAGATGTGATAAGGTGCTACATCACATACAATGATTATTATTATAATATTTAAGACATGCAGGATCTACTTAGCTTATGGAACTAGGTAAGGACCAGTAACAGTTATGCACATGTGGCAGTGTGGTGAGTAATATATTTTGAATAAATGCCATTTAAATAGAGAAAGTCGTGGAAGAAATGTTAGCAGGTGATTCCATGCAAAATTGATTAAAAAAAGACTGCTCTTACATAAGCACTGATTGCAGATAGACGGAGAATTTGAGCTGGCACAAACTGGGTACCACAGACCTGGATACGGAATAGTGTGTCCCAGTCATTTCAATGATTAAATAGAAATCTTTTTCTGCTGATTCTAAGTAAACGGGTGCCAGATCCAAACTATTCTCATGTCCTAACCGATTAGCTTATAAACCAACCCAATCTGTTGCATCTTATCTGAGCAGAACTACTCTTGTTATACAAAGAATATCTCCAGGGGCAAAGCATACATTTTGGATCAATTTAGCAAGCATAATTCAATTTCAATCTTATTTAAAGGGTTTCACGACTGGCATTTGGCCACAATTGTTTTGTTTTTAAAGTAGACAAGAATTTCAGGGAGTTTGTGTTTGGGAATATCATGAAGTGCCTGAAGTCCTGTAATTTCTCTTGGTTTCAGCCCCGTGAATGTTGTTGTGGAATTTAAGATTCTGTAGAATTTTAGGAAAACTCTTAAATTCATTCTCCATATGGAAGCCATTTTTTTGCAATTGCTTTAAAGAATTGTGCTTGAGCTGAGACAGCTAGTAGTGCCTTAATGTAAGTACTGCATTGGCACAGGTTTTTAAATTTAAATATAAACAAATCTGAATTAAGATGATGGTCCTTCAGGCTATAGACATAGATCTAAACCATTACCTAGACATAGTTAAGCTTCTGCCTAATAAATAACTTCTGCTTGTAGAAGCCTCCTGGGATGACAATCTCTGCAATATCACCAACCTTGGTAATCAGTCTAAAATAAGAAGAACTCATGAGGTTTTAGCCGTGGGGTTTGACTGCACTTTCGTACTGATATTACTGGTAACAAAACTCCCATCTTTTTCAGGAAAGAACTGCATGGGGCTGGTAGATCTGGATCGAGCCTGGGCTGCAGAGGAACATGACTACAAGGTCTTTGTGACGTCTATGGAGCCAGAGAGCTGTTCACCAAAAAACAACTTGATAGTGGGACGTTCCCCAAGCCATGACTTCAAACCAAATGCAGTGACACAAACCCAGTGATCAAAGCCCTGGTGAGGACAGCTAGAGGAACAAGCTGTTCCATGGCCTGGTGCCTGTCAAGCAGCCATCAAGACAGCTTTAACCTTTGTTTTGCGAAGAGGGCAGCAGCACGAAGAGGCTTTGTTTCATAGACAATAGGCAGAGCGTCCCTAATCCCACTACTGCTTGTGACAAATGACTTCTTCTTACACCCTGGTGTGAGAATGGATCGAGACCCACATAGTGAGTTTGAGTGAGGCGGTGGGAAGGATCAGCTCATTGGAAACACAGCAAGCCTGTTTTGCTGTCACTGACATTCATCTCATTTTAACATATCTGAGCTCTAGTCGACATTCTACATTTTTAAACTGCTTTTCTGCTGAATGATGTTTTACCTACAAATTGTCAGAATCATTTTTTTACTGTTGGATAGCTATGACAAGAAAGTTTGAATGTCTTTTGTAAATAAATCAATTCAAATTGTAAAGTTAGTTTTAGGGCATTCATGCATGCAAAATCGCATTTCAGCTCCCAAAAGTCGGAGTGATGGATCATCATAAACTATATTTTGTTTCCTTTATAACATGTGGGATATGATTCTCGTCTTATCACTACAGCTAATCTAGAACGCTTCACTATCTCAATAGATCATCTTGTACACAAAAAGCAATGGGGCCGGTGCCAGAATAGGCCAAATTCCTCAAGGTCCAAAAACGTTGAAGGTTGAAGGTCGGGTGATGAATTTCCTTTGTTAATCAGTTATTCATCAAGCTAGTTTTTGGTGAATTGGATATTGAGCTCATCAAATCTGCTTATGAAAGAGAGGAACTTGCAGGGGGATGGGGATAATCCAGGGCACTGGGATAAAATTGATTTCCCTGCTCTTTGAGCAGGCTGCATGGGCCGAATGGCCTCCTCTCAGTGTTTTAGATTCCTGTGTTTCTAACTCTGTCTTAGGTGTGCCAGAGTCAGACCCCTGACTCTGTTGTCAATGGTGATGTCTCCTGGCCACTTGAATACAAAGCTAATATCCCTCTGACCGGCAGTCAAATGCTGAGATCTGGAAGTCAACTGCTACAAATTTTTCATGGATCTCCATCATACCCCGTGAATATTCAATATGATGAATGTTAAACGTACCACTAAATTGATCCCATTATCTTCAGATTTTATTTATAGACTGTTCAACACTGCTTCTCCTTAAAACAATGGTGGTACGAGTATTAATCCTGCTCTTCCATTAATCAGCAGGAGGCACAGGTTTGATGTCTGAGTCATCATCACCTGCACCAAAAGGAGGCAACCACCCAAGGCCAGTGGGTTTGAATGGCAGATGCAAGTTGACACCTGTTCAGATACTCAATTGCAAATAGGTTGACAGAACATTTCTTACAAGAGGAATTTTGTTTTATTTGGGATGTATTGTTATGGAATTATTTTATGAACAATGATGAATAGGAACACTATTATCCAGTACCAAACTAAACTCGATGTCCACCTGAGAATCAACAATCAAATTGAATTCTTCTTGTGAAGCATTTACTGTTTACTGTTTGCTAATAGCCTAGTAATAAGAACAGTGCCTCCTTTGTTAAAGGCTGACAGCTGATTCTTGGTGGGAAACTAAATAGTTTAAATTATATGATCTTTTTTACTAATGCCTGTCGGGAACGATGTAGAGCAGGCAGCGATGTCAGTAGATTTTAAAACGGAAAATTTGTTTTGTGGCAATAAAATTTTAGTAGCAAGTTTGAATGAAACATTGAGATGGGCAAGAAAGACTGGGAACCAATGGTGACAGGATTTTTAAAAAAAAACTATTAAGTTGATGCTCCCCAGCATTGCATTGGAGCATCAGCTTAATAATGAGTTTCAAGTCCTGATTTGGAGCTAACTTTCAGTACCTTGGGACATCATCCCGATGTGAAAGGTGCTATACAAATGTAATTTGTTGAACCCACAAACTTCTCACTCGGTGGCAAAAGTGTTACCACCTGAGCCAGATTGACATGCAGACAACCTATGAAATACTCCATACAATCACTATTGCCAATATATCTTTAACTGATGAAGGGTCTTGGACCTGAAATGCTGACTCACTTTCCTTTCTCCTTAGATACTGCCTGACCCGCTGAGTGTTCCCAGCGACTTCTGATTTTGTTTCAGATTTCCAGCATCTGCAGTATTTTGTGTTTTGTTTGTACCTTTGTTACTGTTTCTTAATGTCTTTTTCTTAACCTGGAGGCCATTTAACCTGACAGATTATTCAGCATCTAGCAGGTTAATGTTTCAGCCAAGACTCTTCATCTACGATGTGACCATGGACTTGAGGTACAGGGACAATGGGCTGAATGACCAGGAATGGGAATCCTCACTGATTTTAACCAATCTTTAAGGGGCAATTATACCATTGTATAAGCTCAACTGTTGCCCTGCTAGAGATCCGCTAACTCAACGCAGGCCAGTATCTTGACGGATGTCACTTTCACCCACTAGTCCATCAGGGAACCTTTAAGAAAATCAACTTAGATAAATTATACTTTATCCATCATCAGCTGCTGTTTGTTGCCTGTTCAGACATAAGAAATCAAATCTTTACCTCCACTAGCAAAGCAGCAAAATATAGGACTTGTTGAGGTTTAATCATGCAGGGATTGTTTTGCATCTAGTTGCTATAGGAATGAAAATTTCGGAGTTCCCAAACAAGCAGAGGTTAATTTTGTCTTTTCGTTTCCTAAAAAATTGGCCACATTCAAGAAGCTTTAACAGGCACAGGTTTTATATAACTTCTGAAAGAAGCAATAGAACAAAGACAGTGAATTACCAATAGTGGTTATGACAAACCGCAAACCATTTTATCCTTTCACTTTATGGTCAAATGCCATTGATTTCAGATGAATACGAAATCCCTCAGATATTTTGCATAACAATATCAGACAGTACACTTGAGACCTCTAGATTGAAAGGGCATGGTTTAGGGAAAGTTTTAATGAGCCAGGCATACGGGCTGAATGGAGAAAAGTACATACTTTAAACAAATGCTGTTTTTTTCCCCCACTGAAGCTCTCGATTTCTACATTATTTTTCACTTTTTGCACAATAATGGTAAAATATTGCCTATGGTCCACATTATCAGCATCCACAAACCTCTGAGCTTTACCAGGAATACAACTTCAGAGTAAATTAGATCACAAGCCTATATTAATCAAGAAGCTGTATTTACTTTTTAAGACAGGAGCACAGAAGTTAGATTAATTAATGTTTTAAGGCCAATATGATGAGTCCTACTCAAAAAAGGCTTGAGATTTGGCAGGCTCGATGGTGCATGGTATTAATCTGTGCAAAGAAAAGCCCCATTCCTTTCTGTATAATGCTTGTTTCCATATGTGAAATATTATGGGATATCAGTTCAATCTCAGACCAGCATAGCTCAATTTGGGATTAATTTTTCATACATTATTAGTCTTTCAGTGTCAGAGAATGCTTCCACAGGGTAGGGATACACATAGCATCAGAGCTTTGTTCAAGTAGTTTATAATTGTTCACTATGTAGGGATGTCCTCCTGACGTGAAAAGTGCTTTACACATGTACATTTTTGTAGTAGTATACAAAGGATAGCAGTTAGTAACAAAGTAGTGTCCTTCCAAAGTTATATACTTTTCCCATTTTTCCTTTCATAAGGGTAACCATCAGACACTATGACAATAATAGTAATAATCCTTGCATTTGATATAGCGCCTTATCACTTCCATGAGATGTCTCAAAGCGCTTCACAGAATATACTTTGTGGGCAAAGTGTGGCAACCCACATGATATGATATTATTCTGACCTTATAATAATAATGCTCCACTTGAATATTCAACATATAGTATGTACCCATTACTGTATAACCAGTGTATGAGCTAATGCAGATTAGGTACATCTTAGTTGATGCATAGCTGCAGGGCAATACTGTTTAGAGAGATACATGTGGCATTGTGATTTGCAGGAATGAAGCTTGTACAGTTGATTGTCTTCTGAACCATAGACTGTTAATTCCTTTTAGCAAACACAGTTTACAAAGGCCTTTCTCAATTAACCATTTTACAAAATGAAATTAACTAGAAATGGCATGAATAGTAAAATAAGTAAATAGTAAAATAAGAATCCTTCCATCTTGTACATCGCTTTATCACATCTCCAGAACGTCTCAAACTGTTTTACAGGATATTACTATAACATTTAGTGACTATATTGGCCAATTCCTGCATGTGCTAGCAAATTTAGCAAATAATAATAATAATCCTTTCATTTGATATAGTGCTTTTCAGATCTTCCAGACGTCTCAAAGCGTTTCACAGACTAGGCTGTAAAGTGAATTAACTATATTTTGAGGGCGAAATGCGGCAGCCATTGCGCACAGCAGCGTCCCACAAACAGTCGTGGTTTGAAGTGACCAATTTATGATTGTTTTATTTTCTTGACTCCACTGGTGTGCCAAAAACAACCCATTAAAAATGAGTATCCAATTATTTTGGGTTGAATTTTGGATGAGAGAAAATATAGGATAGGATTTATTTTTGGTCAGCTAAGGGTCTGACACATGGAGAAACCCATCAGCTTGCTGAAGAGTATTCAAACCAGACTGACAGTACCACATATGTGTTACTACTCATTGGGAACTTCCCTACGTCTGGAGTAGCTTGTGCAGTCTCTTCCTGGAGGGAAGCTTACCTGATTCTGAAGAGGATAAGGAGCAGGTTGGCAAGAGCCAAGGCTTGAGACCAGGATAACTGGCAGAAAAGCTCTCTGTTTCTTTGCTGTAAGGGGGCAGGGGGTACACCTAAACATTCAAGCCTCAATAATATAAAGCGTACATACTTATACAATGAAGACATTTGTGGATAATACATTTCACATTAAATGTCTGTTTTCACAGCAGTCCAGACTTGAGTAACATGCAAGTCAGCATGAAGTATTGAAATACAATATATCTAAATTACAGTCAAGTTAAGGATGACTGATCCCTTCCAATTTTTAGGAAAATGTTACATATAAAACATGCATTCTATACTAGGCTAGGACAAGTCTGAGCAGGAACATAAGTATTTTGTTTGTATGAGTACCTGCTGCCTGAAGAGACAGTTTGTGATATAATATCCTTGAGCTGAATCTTATCAATAACCAGATCTTATAAAGAGAGATCAACAGGATTGCTCATATTCTAATCACTGATACATAAGATATGAACACAGATAAACCAAGGTAATGCATATAGGAATTTTAAAAAAGGCAAATGGGGTAGAATGTACGAAGCAAGTTTGGAGATCTAAAGTTGTCTGTTGACTTGATGTTGACAATGTACAAACCAGGGTGAGACAATAATAAAGGAAGCAAACATATTGCTGTGCTATATGGCTAGTTGAATTTAGATTGTAGAAGTCATGCTCAAGCTTACAGTGGTCTGGTTAGACTGCAGTATACTGCACACATTTCTGGCCACTGTAACCATGATGGGTTGTCCAGGTCTCAGGAGCAGTGCCCTGTCCCCGAGAGGCAATACAGAAACGAACAATGCGATGAATCCGCACTTGGGTGGGGGAGGCTGAGGTATGTGAAATAACTAGATTAAGTTTGGGTTGTTCAGCCTCAAAAACAGATTTCAGAAGATACCTTAAAAGGTAATGCTTTACCTGCTTGGAACACTCCCCAGAGTCTGGGAATTCTTACTAATACAATATTTATACATTTAACATCGCTTACAACAGCAACTTGCATTTATATAGCCACGTGGAACAATGTCTCGCAATGGTTACCTTTGATTTTGTTGATGGTTTTGTATTTATAATTTTTCGAAGAGTGTCATGGGCAACAGTGATGAAAAGACAGCTCTATAATCAATTCATACAACTTACACAAAGGTATTGATGCCCACAATTTAAATAAGAATAATAGTGGGATATATTTTACTCCATGTTAGAGTGGGAGTATATCATACCATGTATATATTCTCATTGGTGATATGTATCATATAGTGCTTAAGAGGCTCAAAGGAAGTGCTGAGTAGAGAAAACAATTGAAGGGTGTTGACTAAAGGCATGGTCACAGGTTTTTAAGAAGTAGAAGGGGAAGGAGCAAGGCAAGGGGATTTGGGGAGAAAGTTACAGAAAAAGGAGACAAGAGTGGCCGAATACACAAGCACTGATGTTGGAATAAGGAGTGAAGGTGACTTTAATGTCTGTTATAAAGTGCTCTGGGATGCCACCCTGCCACCCCCACAAATTAGATACCATGTTTTCAATGAACATTAATTCAAGTTCCATCTGATTCATCTGCTGAATTGCTTCATATCTTCCTGAATGTTGTTATCCTCATGATATTCAGCTTCCCATATAGCTTGATATTTTCAACAAATATTACAATAAATTCTCTCCTTCCCAGCATTCATGAATTGTGTGATCAGTAGAGGTCCTGGAACAAAAGCTACAGAACTGCACTAGTCACTGACCCAACATGTTTTCCTATTTACCATTGCCGGCCTTCTATTGCAAGGCTGATTACCATTTTTACGATGTCACCTCAAGTCCACCTCCTATTCTATATTACTAACTTTTATTCACCATGAGCTTCCTTCCATTCCTTCCAATTCAGTCACTTAAGCCATCTATCCCTGGCCCATCATTTTACACCAATGATACTCCTAGAATCATACAATCTTAAAGCAAGGAAGGAGGCCACATGGCCGGCCCATCATGCTTTTGAAAGAGCTACCAACTAGACCCAACCCCCCTGTTTTTTCCCCATAACCTTACACCCTTTATTCGTTTTATAACTTTTATTTGTTTCACGTGTATAACTAATTCCCTTTTGAAAGTTATTATTGAATCTGCTTCCATCACCCTTTCAGGCAGTCCATTCCAGATCGGAACAACTCCCTAGGAAAAAAACATTTTCATCTCTCCGCTGGTTCTTTTATCAATTATCTTGAATCCTCCCGATGTGAAAGGCACTATACAAATGTAATTTTGTATTGTGCTGTGTCTGTGCCCTCTAGTTACCGACCCACCCGCCAATGGAAACAGTTTTTCCTTATTTACTCTATCAAAACCCTTCATAATTTTGAACACCTCCAATAAATCTCCGCATAACCTTCCCTGCTCTAAAGAGAACAATCCCAGCCTCTGTCGTCTCTCCCACAGATTTTATCCAAACCAACTCTGAACCACTCAAGTTGTCCATAAGTCACCTCAAACATCACTTATTACCGTACGCCATGTAATGCAAGACGGTAAATATCCTAGTAACGTATTTATTTGTTTCTTTTAAATGACTTGCCATTTGATATCCAAAAATTATCAGATCCATGCAAGCGGTTGCATCAGTTGTAAAGGTTTATGAAAGAGAAATATTAATGATGATATTCGAAAAGTGGTTCTGGTCTGCTGAGTAGAAAGCAGGGATAGGTACAAATTGGGATTCATAGCTGAAGATATGACAAAATAATGAGCATTTTCTTTTTGTGAGACTGGACTCTGCTGATTACCTCCTTCTGCAGTTGTTTGCTGTCACCCGCATTGCTCCCTCACCCGCATTGCTCCCTCACCCTCTCTCTCAGTGTACTCCTGATTCATGCTGCAGGTATCTTGATAATTGATGTCCAAATTTTTTTTTTGCTTAAAGACTGCTCGTTGTTACTCACTTAAATGCCACTCTGGTTTGTTTTGGGAATGCCTTTGCTTGCATCGCTCGCTTGCACCGGCAGAGCAACGTTTGCAGCCTGGCTCTGTGGTCATCTCTCCCCTTGTCACAACCCTTTCTTTCTCTCTCTCTCTCTCTCTCTCTTTCTCCCCCAAGTAATGGACCTTTTGATGTGAACAACAGAGGAAGCATTTGCTTTGCAAAAAAAAAAGCACACGGCATAATTGATTGCATTTATTTATTTGAAGACTTTGCAGACAGACTCAATCACTGCGATGCAGCATCATTCTGACATGCTGGGTCGGGCTGAGTTCAGGTGCTATTTTACAGACTAGGTGGTACTGCAACAATCGTTAACTGATGGAGGTCTGTAAGAGCACTAGCAGACCCCCATCCAGCACTCATGCACTCTCAGTGAAACTGTTTATTCCTGTACTGGCGCAGCGTGCAATCTGTCACACTGTCTTGTCAACTCTTGCATGTGCTAAAATGTTCTCAAGCGAAATACACCCAGGCAATTTGGATGTACTGCATAAGGAAAACCGTGCCATCTTAGAATAGACTGAATATATCTGGTGCTTCAGTTATTGTTCACTAAAACAAAATTCTTCATTATTTTATTGATCTTATTTTTTTTGTAAAAAAACTGCTTTATTGGGACGAATTCGAGTGCACTGTTAGGGGTGAGCAATTGCTAACCTTAGTTTGAGTTGCTCTGTGAGGGTCCTACATTCCCAGCTGAGATTGCCCCCCCCCAAGTGCTGTGTTATATACCAGGGCAGCTCTTAAGTGAGAGCTGCAGAAGAGCTAACCCAGCACAAGACTTTAAGATGCTCTTACCTACCTGGTACACTCCCCACTTAACACTGCTTACCTTCGATTTGGGTTATTGTTTTATCACTGCAATCTTTGGGGAGAGTGTCATGGGCAACAGTGATGAAAAGATAGCTTTTGCAGTCAATTCATGCTGCAGAACCTGTACGGTGACCCATAAATCTAAACAAGGATAGTGATCGTGGGATATGTTCTATTCAAGATAACTTTTACTCAAAAACGACTCAAGGGATCAGTGACCTTCTTGGTCTGTTTCATAGTCTCAATCTCGCCTCGCGAATGCTGTCTCTTACTATATGTGTCAGGATTCGTTAACACAGGGGGAATAACACGTGAAAATGGTTTAAACAGCACAGGTTAACATCTGGTGTCAGATCTGCTCTCAGCCACGGTTTAACACAGAGCTGGAGTGAATTGTAAGTGAAGGGTACAATTCCAAATGCCACCCCTTTTAGAAATAGTCTTTAAAGCCAGAGGACTGTGTTCGCATGTCCTGTCTGTCTTGTCCTCGAGTCATTGCAGATAGATGATGCTGGCAATGGGTCAGTGCTGATCACCCTCAGCCTCAGACACACCACCACCTGCTCAGTTAGCGTGATGTGCAACTCTTACGGAGAGAAAATAAAACAAAAGTGCACAGATCGACTGAAGCAGTTGCACACCACACAGTGACACTGGGCTTGTGCTTGTACTGCCCAACTCCTTTTCAGTGCGTGTGTAACCTGCTTTTTTTTTGATGCACGTTTTCTACCTTTAAACCCTGAACGACCGTTTCATTTAACGTGTGGGTCTTCTGTTTTGACATGTCCTGTTCTCTGGAGAGTTCCCTCTCTCTGTGGCTGAGTTGGGCTGCGTGCAAAATACCAAACAGGCAATGCAGAAGGATATTACACTTGCAATGTTAATGCGATGAACTGACAGCAGCTGAGTGGGGGGGGGGGGGGGGAGCTGATCTCTCTCTCCCCCACACCCCCCTCCCCACACACACACATTTTCTCTTGACTCTCTCCAGTGTTCATATCATGCCACAACACACACACACACAGACAGAGCAGATTTAACCTCCCTGTGCCACACACTGACTGACTCTGACTCTCCCTCCCACCCCCCACACTCCCCTCCCTCCCTCCCTCCCTCCCCTCCTCACTGCATGTCTCAGATGAAATCAGATTTCTCCACTAGGGAGAGGCAACACCGCAGAGAGATCTGACTGCACAGGGGGTGGTGGTGGGGGGAAGAGAGGAGAGGAGAGAGCGACAGAAAACTGCACTCAGACCAAGTGTGCAATCTGCAGCACAAGTCACTGAGTCAGACAGACAGACAGACAGACAGATCACTAACAGTGAGGAGATCCAACCACCAGAAGAGAGGACTGGCATTTCTCCAGGACTGTTTGCAGGGCTGCTATGTCTCTCCTCCAAAGGCTGGGGAGTGAGTGATCCACTGACCAGATCCACCCTTCTTTCTCTCAAAGGGAGTTCTCACAAGACTTTTTTCCCAGGAGAAGTGATCCTTTTTCCCAGGGGGGGGGGGGGGGGGGGTAGAGGGAGGTGAAGGAGGAGCAAACAAGGGTCGATCTCCTCCCTGGCTGATCTGGGACAGAAGTCAATCCACTGTGAGTGAGTGAGTGAGTCAGTGAGTCAGTGAGTGAGTGCAGCTCAGCTCTCCTCTCCTCTCCAGGGAGACAGTGCCCCAACAGGGAACCAGAGACAGCAGCTGCAAAACCCAAAGGTCCAGGCGCATCTCAAGCCCATCCATCGCCAGGAGGAGTGGAGTGGGGTCTCTGTGTGCAGAGCGGATGAAGATGTGGGCTTTATTCGTGAAAGTGTTGACTGTGTCCTCACTCTCTCTGTGGGCAGCGGCGGAGCAAAGCACCAGCAGCAGCAGCAGCAGCAGCAGGTAAGAAAGAGGCACTCGTCTGCAGCTGCACAACTCACACAGCAACGTTTCACCCACAAAATACACAGTCGATTCACTTTACATTATATGCTGTGAAGCCCCTTGAGAGGTCTCAACCACCCCATGACCCCCGACACCCCTGTTTACCCGCAGCAAGTAGGAATCCAGTTGTTAGCAGATGGCTTTCTGGGGATAATAACCCCTCCAACAATCCCTAAACTGAATCCAGGACTGACAGTGGGACACTGGCTGCTGCGTTTCGCTGCACAAAATATACAGTCAATTTACTTTACGGTATATCCTGCGAAGCGCTTTGAGCCGTCTCAACTACCCGATAAAGCGCTAAATCAAATGCAAGCATTATTATTAACACGCACCTCGGGAAAATAGCTCAGCAACTTATTACTTTCTGTTGATGTATTCTAATGTGCAATTTCATATACACAATTCGCAGGAATGACACTTGTGAAAAAAAAAGTAATAATGATAATTTGGTCACCCAATCCATGACTGTTTGTGGGACATTGGTGTGTGCAATTGGCTGCTGCCTTTCGCCCACAAATATACGGTCAGTTCACTTTACGGTATATTCTGTGAAGTGCTTTGAGACATCTCAACGACTTGATAAGGTGTTATATCAAATGCAAAGATTATTATTATTATTATATTGTTGCCAAGTTTAACCCTGAAGTTATTGTGAAAATAAGTCATGCAATGGATTATTCATTTATTTATTTAACCGTATTTTCTCTGTAAATAAAAAAAGATCAAAGTGCATGCAATGTGTAGGAATGGCTGAATGAAAAGATGTTAACCTATTTGTAAGATGCTCATGATTAAAGTGTGTCAGACATACAGGCACCGTGTGCCCTCATGCCCAGGCTTGCGTTAGATGTGGTGTACTTATTCAGCAATGTACAGGAATGCAGCAATCCAGAGATCTGTCTACGAGCGCTCTAACATGCAGTGATTTCTGGGGTTTGGACTGTAACTTCCCATCTGCCTGCTCAGGTGGACGTTGGGGATCCCTTGGCAGTGTTTAAGGGGAAGAGGGAGTTTCTCTCTCCTGGAGTCCTGGCCAACAACCTTCCAAATAAAACTGGTCACTTGTTTCATGGCTGTTTGTGGGACGTTGCTGTGTGCAATTGTGCTGCTGTGTTTTGCCTAGTCACTCCATTTCACAATAATTTCTCTGAAGCGCTTTGAGACATCCTGCTGACATGATAAAGCACTATACCAAATGCAAAGATTATTATTATTATTCTAGGGACTGGCATCTCTTTCCTCGGCCAGTCTCTGACTCAGACCAAACAAAAAGCAGATGTGAAAGGCACTATATAAATGCAATTTGTTGTTCGTTTTTGTTGATTTTATTTTGTGCGAAGAGAAAAAAGTTGCACTCCCGGCTCAGGAATTCTCTCCAGGTTGTGCTGTTGTGCTAAGTCTCTACCTTTTACCCAATCCCCTGTGACTCTCCCTTTAACCCTTTCGTGTTCCCGCTTGTGTTACTATAACAGTGTTTTCTGTTCAGGGTCCGCAAACTTCGCTCCACTTCGGGTGGCTTCTGTCGCTATGGGCTCCGAGTGGATTGCTGCTGGGGATGGAACCGCAGGTCCTGGGGTCATTGTCAACGTGAGTACCGCCACATGCTCGCATGCGCTTTCCCATCTCGCCAGGGGCTTTTCTGACCTCGCCAGGGGCTTTTCCCACCTTGCCAGGGGCTTTTCCCACCTCGCCGGGCCTTTTCCAACCTCGCCAGGGGTTTTTATACAAAGCTGGAGGTTTTAACACAGAGCTGAGGGGTTTACACATCATCAAGGGCTTTTATTTGGATTTTATTTGGAGAGCTGGATTTTACACATGATCCAAATGGCTACTGAAATGCTAGTCCTTTTAGAGGATACTAGAGGGAATTTGCAAGAGTTGAGGCTATTAAGTTCTATCGAAAGGGCTGTTACATTGAGTGTGTGCGTATTATGCCCTATTACATACCATCTGGACTTTAAAAACCTGTTAAATACGTTATTAATTAGCTGCCGCTTTGGCTCATTGACAAAGAGATTTACACCCAAGAAAAGTCTCTTGCCCAAGCCGGGGCTTTCATTCACTGCTGAAATAGACACTGTACAAAGCTGCTGAAGAGTGAGAAATAGAAATATTTTCAAAAGGATGGGTGGGGCAGTGTTAGAGAAGATAATTTTGTATATGTTGTTAAGTGTCAGCGTGACTCAATTGGTAGCTCTCTTGCCTCTGAATTAGAAGGTTGTTAGACTTTGGGACTTGGGACTAATACCCCCATCCTAGCCCGACTCCACTGGCTTCCCATCACACAGAGGATACAGTTCAAGATCCTGGTCCTCACCTTCAAAACCCTCCATGGTCTTGTTCCCCCCTACCTCTCTGACCTCCTAACCCCCTACCATCCTGCTCGCTCCCTCCGCTCAACAGGCTCCGGTCTACTTCACGTCCACCATCTCACTCACCCCACTATTGGCGGGCGGGCCTTCTGCCACTCTGCCCCCACTCTCTAGAACTCCATCCCACAGTCTTTCCGCCTCTCCCACTCCCTTGCCTCCTTCAAGATTCATCTCAAGAACCTCCTCTTCGACCGTGCTTTCGATCACCCTGCTTCCCCGCCTGCCCTCCGCCCTCCCCGATTCCGACCCCCAGCTCAGGTCCGAAACTCTGACTGTCCAGCACCTTGGGATGTCCTCCTGACTTGAAAGGCGCTATAGAAATGTAATTTTATTGTTGTTGGAATTGGTAGCCTAGACTGACACATCAGCCCTGCATTGTCAGAGATGTCCTTCAGATGAGATGTTAAACCAAGGTCCCTTCTGATTGTTCAGGTGAATGCTAAATCTTCCATGGCCAGTGTCCTGGCCAACAATCCCCCGATAAAATTCGATCATTCACTTCATGGCTGTTTGTGGGACATTGTTGTTCACAAATTGGATGCCACCTTCAGCTACAAAATACAATCATTAAAGTAAAACCTGTGAAGTGTTTCCTCTCAAAGTGAAAGGTGCCATATCAAATGCGCCATATTATTATTTATTTAAGTGAATATTGACACAGAATGAAAACTTTTAAAATTCAAAGAAAGGGACATTGGATCCATCAGGGACTTTACGCACAACCAAACAGCAAAACAGGAAGTTGGGATCTCCATCGTGGGGGAATGCAAGTGTAGTTATACAACATCGAGGAATACGAAACAGCACAGTATTTCCCTCAAACAGGGATGCAATGAAACAGTACCATAAGTACTTGTGAAACAGAATGGGACTTTTGCGCACTGATTGGCTGTTGTAGACTGAGACGAGTGTTTCTTCATTGCTAGTGGAAAATACAACAGCAATAACAAATTACATTTATATAGCGCCTTTCAAAAGAAATTATGTTCAAAACTATGAGGGGTTTTGATAGAGTAGATAGGGAGAAACTTTCCTCTGGCAGGTGGGTGAATGGATTTTAAGAAGACACAGATTTAAGATAATTGTCAGAATAACCAGAGGGGAGCCGAGGAGAATCCTTTTTACTCTTTAGAGAGTTGTTGCGGTCTGGAATGCATTGCCTGAATGGGTGATGGAAGCAGATTCTGTAATAGTTTTCAAAAGGGAATTAGATAGGTACTTAAAAGGGGAAAAAAATGCAGAGTTATGGGTTAAGAGCGGGGATGTGGAACTAGTTGGTAGCTCTTTCAAAGAACCAGCACAGACACGATGGGCCGAATGGCCTCCTATTCTGTAAAATTCTATGAATCTATGATTCACGTTGGAAGGACGTCTCAAGGGGCTGGACAGTAAAGGGTTTACACCTGAGCTGGGGGTTGGAATCAAGAGGGGTGAAAGGTAGAGGTGGGGAGGGTTGCCGAAAGCATGGCCAAAGAGGAAAGTCTTGAGGCGGGTCTTGAAGGAGGCAAGGGAGGGAGCGAGGTGGAGGATTCCGTGTGGTGGGGGCAGAAAAACTGAAGGCCTGACCGCCGAAGGTGGGACGGGTAGAGCGGGGGACACGAAGCAGGCCAGTGCCTGCCGAGAAGACGGAGCGGACAGGTTGGTATGGTGTTAATAGGTGTGTGATCGACAGCTATTTTAGATATAACATGGTTAGGGTGGGAGTGTGGGGGGGCTTTAACAAGTTGCTAGAACATTCACGCAGCATGCTGGGGTTAAGGGGAAATATGCACTGCTGCTGGTGCTTTGGAATGACTGGCTTTCAACATCCGTTGGTTGATGTTTATTCTAGCTAAAGCTTGTGCCTGCCTATTCATATGCAGCTTAGTGAGGGCTTTCACTAAGTGAGGGCTTTCTGGTGCTTTTTCACATTGCTGGCGCTTTAATGTGCTTCCACTAAAGCGCCGTGAAGACTCGCATTATACGTTTCGACTTGCATCCTTTTTATCTTGAATAATTCTCAAAAATGAACTGAATTTCCCTTTTTTTTGTTAATTCTAAAACATATTTTTGTTTTTAGTACTTTATAAAAATAAAATGTACGTGTTCTGTGAAGAATTTGCCTGCTTTCAGCTGTTGGGACAGAATGGGTGACTCAGTCCCAGTTACAATAACAATCCTGAACCAAGTTGAAATCAAGCCATTTCTTCAATGGGATGCAGATAAGACTGTATCTCTTTCAAGTTCATCCTCTGTAATAAATCCAGGATCGTGGTTTACTTTTTTTAAGCTAAAATAAAATGTATTTGGAGATGAGAAGCATGGCCCTTATTCAGAGGTAGCCCAGGGGAACATTTCTCATTCAAGGAATGTCTGGCCACTAGTGACAGGGGCAGAGGAACTCTCTCCCAAGTTATTAAGGCAGGAATCGTGGCCTTGATAAAGCAAACAGTCAAAGAGATGCAGTGTTTTTCAAACTGTCTGCTACACAGCATTGACCACACTGTCAATGCCAAGGGTGGGAAACACCCACTGTGTTTACCACTGTGAAACAACAGGGAAGGTATAAACTAAGCATCACTTATGAGATATTCTTCAGTAAGACATGGCCGATTTTTTTTTTACAAAACATCTCCATTGTTGATAATCCCGAGTCATTACTGAAGTTGTGCTTTCAGCCACTCTCCCATCTCCTCTATCCTCCACCCCTCTTAATTCCAACCATCAACTCGGGTGCAAACCCTTAACTGTCCAGCGCCTTGGGGCCCCCTTCTGACGTGAAAGGCACTGTATAAATGTAATTTTATTTTTGTTGTTGATGAATAAAGCACCAACATCTACATGGGATTTGACATGAGAATTGTACCTGTGTAAAATGTTCCAGCGGGACTTTGAAACCTGACAAAGCCAGTGTAGCACACCACTGCTTTGAATAATATCAAACAACCACTTTACCAAAAGTTTTTTTACTCGACTAATAAATGCCTTCCTAACTAATTCACACACACACCAGTGGTGAGTTTCATGAAACTGGTGAAACAAATGGGAATGCATGCACTGCAATAAGTACAGACGTGCAATGCGTTTCTACATTGGAAAGTTTTTCTGGGAGTCTCATTTGTCAATTCCAAGTACATTTCATGAAATGACAAATTAATTTGTCACAGACTTTATATCCACTTTATCGAGAGGGTGAACAAACATTAAAATAATTACCTAAAGCAAGATGAATACACGTTTTTTGAAAAAAGGATTGGTGTATAGAATATTCTGAAGTCAGATTGCAATGAAAATTTTAATGCCTGTTAACAGTGATCGAAACAGAGCTACAGTGAGAGTCTGAGACATCGCAGTAAAGGATTCAAGATTCCTGATATTCTCTGGCGTGAAGCATTGCAAATCCTATTATATTTGAATGAACTGGGTTAACATCAAGACGTTGGTACTTCCCAATGATAACACATTTACTACGACTAAATGGAAGTAAACTCACACTTACGCTATGGTTTGGAAAATAAACGCAATGTGGATGACTTTAGTCAATGCTAAGTGAAGTGACTTTGAACAGGTTTTGAGCTGGATTTGACACAGCTTTAAAAGAAACCAGGCTGCATCAATTTTCATACCATTGTTTCCTCTCTGTGGCTAAAATGAACAACAATTTCTGGTTCAACAGAGTAAGCATGACACCGAAAAGGATTTCCCTTGTGACCCTTGTTATGTGTTTCAGAAGAGTTCTAATGGCGGTATGCATGTGCGTGTGTGTATGTAAATGTCCTGGAATGTGGCTTATTGACGAAACCACGTCCAGCCTCCTAAAAAGGCTCTGGAATTCTCTGGATATTTGTTTTCCAGCTTTCATCCCGTTAATGCAGAGAATATGCCGAGTAACGTACCCTCTCAAAGGTTAGCTTAACATATTTATTACAATAATCTTGTTAACACATGGCTTGGAGAAAGGGTTCATAAAGCACAGAGTGACTGAGAGCAGAGCTCCTGCTTTCATCAAATGGGGGAAGAACCCGAAATAGCAAAGTGCTGTAATATCACCAGCAGGAAATGTGCTTCTCTTTCAGTCTGTTCCTTGAAAATTGTCCATCTCTTTATCAATCTGATGTGGTGACATTGCAGTGGTACCCCCACTATAATGCTCACCATGCAGATGTGCAAAGAAAGCATGTTAAGAGAAGGAGCGGGCGGAGGGGTGGGTGTATGATGTTTGTCTGTTACTAAGATTATTTGTCTGTTAATAATGTTATTGTGAAGACCCTGTGCAATGTCACAGGTGGTTTGCCTCTCCTCCCACCCCGTGTGAACTTCACATGTGGTACCTCTTGTACCCGTTGCCTCTCATGCTTGCTATGCTGCAATGTTCAATGTTCTGTTATATGCTCATGCCAAATACTCCCAGTATCCCAGGCCACAGCCATTCAGCTGGCTCTGAAGAGAAAAGCCAGGCAGGTCCACAGAATCTATCTAACCCTCTCTTCTGTCTCTCTCTCTACGACTCTCTCTGACTCTGTGCCTGTCTCTTTCTTTGAAGTACAAACGTATAAACACGGATTTGCATAAGCTGACAAGCAACCAATTGGTGTTCTGCTGCACTTGCAAGAGTAAATCTTCTATGATAAAAGTCATACACTCTGAATCACAGCATATTATCAGTATTATCTACTGCATGTAGATGGCTAAATGACTTCGAATGTCATCAACAACAACTTGCATTTATATAGCGCCCCTTATGCAGGGTAGCGTCCCAGGACACTTGACGGGCGAAGTACGATGCTAAGTCGGGGGGAGGTGGGAGGTGACTGTTAGCACAGTCGAAGAGGATGGTTTTCAGTTGCTACTTGAAGATGGGAAAGGAGGATGACGATCACATGCTAAGCTTTGACTGTTCATGTCCTCCATACAGAACTGTTACCAGTCGAGGGTCTTGTTAGGCATAAGATCATCAATAGATAGAATTTTGTGCAGATTGTAGTATGGATGGGAGGCCACCAGCCTAAGATCTCACAGAAAATACAAGTTTTAGTAAAATGTGGTCAAATCTTTAGCTGGATGTCCATTTTATTCCATAAGGAAATATCTCTTTACTGTTAGCGAGTCCAGCCCATCCCTGGAGGTCTGTGTATGTGACTGATGTAAAGTGCTAATCATACAATTATTAAAGACAACAACTGTTCTTTTAATGTAGTGAAGCATAAAGGTGAAATTTGTGATATTTCATAAGGTGCACCTTGTACAACAGCAGTAACTTGCACTTATATACCGCCCTTCATGCTGAACATTGTTTTGGCGAGTGGCATAGTGGCGGGCTTGAACGCCAAACAAGGGGGAAGGGAGCTAGAGGTAGAGGTGACCATAGGTGGAATTGCAGATGTAGGTCTTCAGTTAGGATTTTAAAGATAGACAAAGAGACTGGGGGCGAGGCAGAGGACTTGAAGGCAGGGAGTTTCAGAGGTTGGGGGAAATGTGGCTGAAGGCACGGCCACGATTGTGGCGCAGATGAGTTGTGGGATGTGCCGAAACCTGTGCCAATTGAGCGAAGATGTGGGTGTGAAGGGATTTGTGTGTGAGAGTGATCTTTTCAGAGACAGAGAGCCATTGGAGCATGATATGAATTGGGTTGATGGGCTTGGGAGATAATGCAGATGAAATGCTATAAATTTCACCTCATATCTTCAAATATGAATCACTTTGGCAAATAAAGACCTTAACTATCACCTTTAAAAAATCCTCTGGGTCAGTAAACTTGTGTACAGAACTGATTAATGTATGATCAGGTTTCACTCTCGGAGGCAGGTGCATGCTCAACATGTGCACTGCAAGACGACTGCATTGAGATTCAGTTTTCCAAGTGCAATCCTCCATTATTGGTTGATGCTCAGTACCGTAGAGGCTTGTGGACTCACGGTACTGAACAAACATCAATCAGGACCACCAGGCAGTAAATCCCTCACACAAAGGAGGTTTGTTTGTGAAATTACAATTGGAAAGAATTCAGTTTTCTCTTCCCCAAACCTCCCCCTCTACCACCCTCCCCACCACCAATAGGGCTTGACTTGCTAACCCACACCGGCTTGTTTCCTTCCTCTGCTCAGCTGACTCCTATCTGCTCCATGTTCCCCATCCTGCGTGCCCACCATTGGCAGTGAACGCATTGTTGCAAATCAACTCAGCGCACACCTCTCCCACTCTCTCTTCGAACCCCTCCAGTCCGGTTTCCGCCCTGCCCACAGTACAGAGACTGCGCTTGTGAAAATCACAAATGACATCCTCTCTACCTATGACCAAGGCTCCCTCTGCTTCCTTGTCCTCCTGGACCTCTCCGCCGCGTTCAACACAGTCGATCACACCATCCTCCTCCACCGCCTTTCCTCCGTCATCCACCTCAGTGGGACCGCACTCGCCTGGTTCGAGTCCTACCATTTCACCCACAAAATATACAGTCAATTCACTTTACAGCTTATTCTGTGAAGCACTTTGAGACGTCTAGAAGACCTGAAAACGCTATATCAAATGCAAGGATTATTATTATTACCTCACAAACTGCCAGCAGCACATTTGCACAAACGGCTTCTCCTCCCCGCTCTCATCCAGTTACCTGCAGGATATCCCAAGGATCCATCCTTGGCCCCCTCCTCTTTCTGATCTACATACTCTCTCTTGGGGATGTCATCCGCAGACAAGGGGTACACTTCCACATGTATGTGGATGACAACCAACTCTATTTTTCCACCTCACATTGTGACCCCCAGCACCCTGATGTTCTGTCAGCCTGCCTGCCAGATCTCAGGGCTGGATGACCGCAAATTTCCTTCAGCTGAATGTTGACAAGACAGAAGCTTTGGCTCTTTGGCTCTCGTCAACATTTAAAATCACATGGTTCTCACCTCCTCCACCTACCCAACCACACCCTAAAACTCTCCGAACCCATACGCAACCTAGACGTCAGGTTCGACCCCCAATTATCCTTCCTCCCCCACGTGCAGTCCTTCACCAGCACCGCTTTCTTCCACCTCTGACGCATCGCCCGTCTCCACCAATACCTCACTCCAAAAGCCACTGAAACCCTGGTCCATGCCTTTGTCACCTCTCGGCTGTTACTATTCAAATGCCCTCCTCTCCGGTCTCCCCTCCACTACCATTCATAAAATTTGGGTCATCCAGAACCCTGCTGCCCGCATTCTTAACCGCACCAAACTCTGCTCCCCGATTATCCCAGTCCTTGCCAGACTGCACTGGCTGCCTGTCCCAGAGAGGAACGACTTCAAGATCCTCACCCTTGTCTTCAAATCCATCCACTCCTCTGCACCCCCCTACCTCTCTGACCTTGTCTCTCCTCAAAACAATGCCCGTTGCCTTTGCTCCACTGGGTCTGGCCTCCTCCTTGCCCCCCAAAAACTCCGCTTCACAATCGGCGGCCGTGACTTCAGCCACTACGCCCCGAGGCTCTGGAACTCCCTCACTCCCTTCGCCTCACCCCCCCACCCCCCCTTCCTATTTTCAGAAATCAGCTGAAGACCGTTCTTTTCGACCGTGCCTTTGGTTACCTTCCTCCGCCCCCCCCCCCCCGGCTCGGCCCCAGGAACCGTAACTGTGAAGCGCTCTGAGATGCCATCCGGGGTGGATGAATCTAAGTTGTTGTTGTTGTTGGTAGTGGGGCCCACAGCCTCTCTGTCCCCACGTTGTGGAACTCCATCCCACAGTCCCTTCATCTCCCTCCCTTGTCTCCTTCAAGGTCCGTCTCAAGACCTTCCTCTTCGACCGCAACTTTGATCACCTTTCTACCCCCACTGCCTTCACACCTCTTGATCCCAACACCCCAGCTCGGGTGCAAATCCTGGACTGCCCAGTGCCTTGGAACGTCTTCCCGACATGAAAGGTGCTATACAAATGTAATTTATTGTTGTTAGAAGCTGTGCAAGTTGAGAGTTATGGATGGGTATTTTTAGAATTCCAGGTGCAATAAACAGTCTACATTTGGTTTATATTGTCAAATATCAGAGTGCATTATAGAGGAGCACACGGTCTTCGCATATCACTTCTGTGCATGTTCTGCACCTTATCGGTTTCCACCTCATTGTGTTCTGGCTAATATCTCTTCAGACCTGCATTACTTGAGCTGCTTTAGTAAAGGACGGAATGGATGGTGGTGTTAAAATCTAAATAACCAATTCCTGCATGTTTCTTGCAAAGACTGGTGGATGGGTTGTAGAGTGTGGGACCATCGCAATCACCGTGAAAACATGCTGGAATGATCAGATCAGGTCATCTCTGATTTATTTGATATGATGAGAAATTTGGGTATAATTTGGATGCTTCTGATTCGGATGGCCCATCACTTAGATGCATGAAGGGCATGGACATTGTGCTATTTTACTGTTCTCCTGTCTGTTCTACACATTACATTGGTATGAAATGTCTAGTGCTTTCTGAGCCTTGTTCTTTCTTGGGCTCTGTGATTGACAGGTAAGTGATTTTCTTATTCACTCAATTTCATTTTTTTCTGGTCTGGTATCACATTTCTAAAGATTTCCCAAGTTAAAAACCACAGCGGCTATTTGTGTGCTGCTTGACTGCTACATTTGCATAGAAAAGCAGTCATGAGAGTGAATAGTGAACTCCTGTGAAGCCCTTTTGAGTTTTTTCAACGACATGATGAAATCCTATATGAAATGCAAGGATTTTTTTCAACACTGTATTGCTGAGATTGAAATGGGATTTCAAAAAGCCTAAGAAACCTTCACCTGTTGGCTCTTTGCGAACTGTTAACATTTCACTGCTATTTTTGACTTCTATTTTTGACTTACATATCAGAGTTTCACAGCGGAGGGGATTTAAAGCCATTGAACTGAAACATTGTCTGAGCTCTCCCTCATAATCTCACTTTAACTGTTGCC